ATATATATATATATATATACATATACTTTTTCAAAAAATTCGCTCACACAGCCGAGAGCGCACATACACACCAAAAAAATAAAAAATAAATAAATATATATATATATATATACATATATATATATATATACACACACACATACACACATACATATACACATACACATACACATACACATACACACACACATAGGGAGAGAGAGAGAGAGAGAGAGAGAGAGAGATTTTGTTCTCTTTTATTTTGAAAAGAACATAGCAGTTACAAAGTGGAGCCTTTCTCTTCATAGTACAAAATCTTGAAAAGGTTCAATGCAGTCTCTCCTCTATTTAGAGCTGATAGATATATGCTGCCAGTGGCACAAGGAAAACACTCCTCAGTAGACGTAGCTCAAGGCTTAACCCCCCCCATTAGCTATCCTCCTGTCATTTACTGTACATATTCAAGGCCCTAAATTTTCCTGAATTATAGCAAACCCGACACCCTCCTTATCGATATCCATTTTCTTTCACACAGAAGAATCTCAGATGACCACCGCAAATATTTCTGAACTCACAACGCTTGCATGGCTTAAGCAGAATAACATGTAGCTGAAGCTACATTCTTGTTGGAGGATCTAAAACCAATTCCTAAATTCTGCGAATGCACTCCTAAAGAGACAAAAGCAGCTTGATTCCCCATCTCAGGTTGGTATGGAAATATAGATCATGATCTAGTCAAAATCATTCCTCTCCTGAGAGCTCATTTTTGCAGTGGTTTGTGTGGTTTCACTCGGTGTGGCACGCTGCAGGTGAGACTGGATGGCATGTTGTCTCTGCAAATCTTTAAACCTTTCTATAAGTTCTTGGAACGTTGGTCGACATTTTGGTTCACTGTACGAAAAAATATAGAATCAACCAGGGATGATTAAGAAAATAAGGGCAGGAACTGTTTTAAACTATTTATGGGTGATGAAACAACCTGTGCCAACAACTCTCAATTATCGAGACCCACTGTGGATCCAAATCCTTTGGGAGATGCAACCTTTGGTTCATGAATCCTACAGCTGCAACGACCTGGATAAACAAAAATCATTATGTGAGATATCTCTGGAGGGTAATAGGAAATCAGTCCAAGACCAGAGGCAAACTTGTTAAGAATAGCAAAATTGTCAACCAACGATCACTTTCAAAACAAATGTAGGAGATACGAATGATTGAAACAACTATCAGTGAATTTAGTAGATGCAAACATACCGGGAAACTTGAAAAGCTGGATAACCAAACATATTTTTTGTCAAAAGTTAATCTGCGATCCCTGACTCTCATGAGTTTAAATAATAATTTATAATAGACAAATGATGAAACTAACAAAACTTCATGGCAAGGTGGCTCAGAGAAAATGGAGATCTAGCTCATTGATTGGTTATGCTAGAAATGTCAAGCCATCGTAATGCATCGGGCTTCGGCCATCCACTAAGAAGTAGCTAAGAATGCTAGAAATGTCATATTCCATAATGATATACCAAAGTTTCAAGCATTCGGAACATAAAACATTGTAGAGCATCAACAGTTGAAAATAACTTGTACTTAGTTGAAGCGGTGCATTACCTGCATTGAATTGAGATTATCCCAAGGGATTTTCTCGGTGACAAGTTCCCACAGTATTATGCCATAGCTATACACATCCGACCTATTTTTCCATAGACCAAAAAGAAGTGTTTTATTCTTTTTGAAGCAGCAAGTAAAATAACAATGTAAATTGTGTGCTAAAATAAAATTAACATCTGCATGTACTTTTCATCTGAAGGTTCATTTCGAAGAACTTCCGGTGCCATCCATTGTGGCTAAGAAACCATATAAACATAACATTCTTAGTATCACAAATAATCAAATACTCGGAAGCCATGAATGACTGCTATGGGTTAAAAGGGAACATAGGAAAATGTTAATACCGTTCCTTTCCCAGTTTTGGTAATCAAATAAGTTTCGTGCTTCAAACGTGAAAGACCAAAATCACCAACCTGCTAGTCATAAAGAAATTAATAAAGGTTAAAATGTTTCTGTTCCGTTGGCATAGGCCACTGATATTTATAAATAGAATGCAACCTTGACTGTCCAATTCTTATCGACCAACAAATTCGATGATTTCAAATCACGATGGATGATAGGAGGGCTGCTATGATGAAGATAATTTATCCCCCTTGCCTGTCGAAAAAGTAAGAATTTCACAATAAACTAAAATCATCTGCAACAATCACAACATTAAGGGTCTAAGATGCATTTCATTCATTTCAAAGGTCATATACACAAAAGCTGTAATACAAATTAACAAAAAAAGCCTGAGTTCAATTCCGTCTAACCTATAGCTCTTCTGAGCCACACAAACCAATAAAACATCTTCTCTTGCCTAAAAAAATTACTACTTATGGAAGAACCAATTGCTAAGACTCATCCTTGCCAACCAACTCCTCCCTTCTCTGTGAATGCTGTTGGTGCAACCTACCTGAACACCTTAGGATATTAACATCTACAGCCCAATAGCAAAAAATAAAAAATAAAAAGCACCCATAATGACACCATCAATTTGTCAGCAACATTTCCTGCCTCCAAAAACCTGCAGTATAAGCTTTCCACCAAAACACTCATAAAGCCTTTCTCTTACTTTTTCAGTCTGGCAGATCATCAACTTTGCACCAATTCTCTCTCTGCAATTTGCCCACTTTGCTATATTCTACTAACCACTACCCACCTTCAGTCCAAAGAGTCCTACATAACATTTGCCCTATGCTCCCAAACTCCCACACTATCTCAGATGTCCAATTCAAGAAGAATAGCATTGACCAAGATACTTCCCTTTTGTAACATGATTCCCAAAAAATTGAAAATGGTTAACCATATGGACTTGGATGATGCGCTGTTTCCTGGATCTGATTTGGTGCTTATACAGTACATTCCTTTCCATACTTCAATTCATGTAGAACCAACATACTACCACTTTTAATGTCCATACGAATGTGTGCACTTTAGGTTGTTGTATGTGAATTACTAGATTTGAACAGATGAAAAAGAGTAAGCGTCCATTTTGGATTGAGGAACTATACTTACAATGTCTAGAGCCATGTGAATCCGCCGTCTCCAGTCCATCCTCCCCGTGTTTTTTTGCAGTAAATGGAACAAACTCCCACTGCATTCAAGTTATGTCCATGTAAAGTGAATGGATATCTAAAAGTCTCAAAAATGTATATCACACTCCCATATAACTAAAAAATGGATTAAGTGGGACATATATATGAAATTGATGAACATTTTTCTATATGGACTTATACAGTAAATTTATATTGTTTTACTTGTAACTTTAAGTGCAACTTTAAACAAATGGTTGAGCATTTACATGTTTCACCTATAGCACATGATATAGAGTTGTGTTGTACTTCCAACTTTCCACCAGCAACAGATTTTTTCCTTTTGCTATATCCCAAAGGTGCAGCTCGAGGAAATTAAAATGTAATCATCTTCTATAATCATACAATTATTGCAAAGTTCAAGTCAAGGAAAAAGAAGTATTGGATGTACCAACCAAGGTTTGCAATTTTGTACCATATCGGAGTATATATATATTTATATACATAAATATATATATATATATATACATAAATATATATATATATATGTATATACATATACATACATATATACATATATATATATATATATAATCCGAAAAAGGTGACATCGCCGAACGTCACCTTTTTCTAATATATATATATATATATATATATATATATATATATATATATATATTATTTTTCGTTTCGCTCGGTAGCCAGCGGTCCACGTACCGGTATGCTGTCGGACCGGTACATACCGCTCGTACCAGGCGATATCATTCGGTATTGCGTATCTTGTATATACTACCAATAACCTGGATATTTTGGCTCATGTGGTTGAAGGCTTCCCAATCCAAATTATTAGGCCAGTGTTTTATTGAGCCAGGTCCTAACATCATCTTGTCCAGTTACCTTTTATGCGAGAGTGTCTCTGTGGATATCAAACCTAGAAGATTGTTGTTCTTAACAGGATGCAAATACCCTGCTAACTTCCAGACTACATGATGGGTTTAAGGAAAAACGCATTCACACAAAAATAATGCTCACATTGTTTTACTCTAATTCAAAAAGAAAAGGTCAAGACCCAACCGTGGAAGAAATTCTGTCACAATGCAAAGACGACAGGGAGAAGTAACTGCACCCATAAAAAGTAGTATGTTTGGATGTCGTAGCCTCTTCACCAATGACACCTTGTAAAGCAAAGCAATGTTTAGATTGTATACAATGTGAAACATTCAAAAGAAATTCGATGACATCATGCCAAAGACATCTGAATAGTAAAAGCAGCCGATAAATAGAAATCAATAATACAATCTGGAAAAGAGGGACTCTTTTCTACCATGTCAACAGAAAAAAAATTATTAAATTTGGCTTAGCTAGTATTACATACATATGCATATCTCTGTGGAGCTTCAACAGCACACATTAGTTTTGAGATCTTAGAAGTCTGGGATAGCTAATGAAAAGCCATATGAGGCTGCCATGCATGATAATTTGCCAATAAAAGTATAGAAATTAGGCAGGTCGTAAGCCCCATGAGATTATGAAAGCCAACAAGGTTACACATGTTATTGTAGCAGATTATAAAGAGAATTAAGATCAGATAGGCTCTAAAACTTCATGTCACGACGACTATAAATCATTGATCAAGTACCTTTCTAGTGCATACTTATTTTAACTTGTATTAGCTAATATGACTCAGTTGAAGTGACAATGCTGTCAAGACTCAGAACCATGAAGTGAAAACCTTCAAAAGGTGAAGAAGCACAGTAGAAAAAGAAATATAGGAGAGAGACATTTTTCTAAGATCTGTAATTTCTAATCTTATGAACTTCTGAATAAGTTTCTCAAACAAGATAGTTGATGAAGAAGTTGAACAGTTGTAACTTGTTAGAAGATGTGATAGCTAAAATTTCAACAGCTGAAAAGATAGAGGAGTGACGCGATTGAAAGTCTTGAAGTAAACATAGTCTACAACAATGATGCTATTATTTAAAAGATAATAATAGCAACTACTAAATTAATAACAAATAATCAATGTGAACCACAAATTCATGAGAAGAGGTTTGGGAGCTTCTCAAATCTCAATATACCATATACATGAGTCTATAAGAGATCACTACCTCTTGTCTAAATGAAAGAATCACCTCATCAGAATATTCCTGCTTTGAGAATACTTTAACTGCCACATCCTACAAGAAAAAGTACATAAGTTTAACTCCATAACAATAGGGACAAGGCAGTTTGAACATCAGATTGATCCATTAGACGTCCATGCTCATCTAGAAAAATATCTATGGTATGAAATTGAAAGTCCACATATGAGATTAGACAAGATAGAACATGCCTAATTTCATCCATGCTTTTCAATGGTTCCTTATTTTAGAGTGGGAGAATAATATGTGACAAGGCAGATGGCCCTAAGCTAAGTACTAGCAGATCATTCATCTCTGTGCAACCTGCTGGCCAGTCAAGATTCAATTCTAAACTGCAAGAATATATCATGCACATTTAGATATTTAAGATGCTGCACCATTATCTGGCCAATGGCCAAAAAGAAACTATTAGTATCCAGCATTAGGAACATCAAATGTTCAGATAATCATTTCATAGGCAGCTTAAAGAAAACCAACAAGTGAAAAATCTTTTGACTTATTAAGAAAAATTCATGACTACCGGAGATGAACTGATACATTAGTTTTATTTTTTTCACAGAACATCACAATCCACTATAGCATGCTACTTCATTTGAGCATCAATCCAAGGAAAATAATTTTATTCCTATGAACAACTCTTTCATTGAATATCAAAATATATATGCATGCATTTGCATTATATATCACAAAGTTCATATTACATAGATTCTGAAGATACTACCTACGTCAAAAGAAAAACATCAGCTTATTTTATGCATTTAAAAATCTATTTAAATCAGCCTGCAAGGTCAGATTTATGTCTCTCCACCATAAAATAGATCACAACTACAAGACTTGTAGGCATGGAATACGGAAACATAATGTATAATTTGAAGGTGCATATTTATTCCTATTATTTTATTCTCCTTGTGATTGTAAAATAATTTTATGCTGTCACCTCATATTGATAGTTCTCAATTTTTGGTACTTCTGCTGTAACATATCTTAATTAGCACTTTCATTGTAAGCTTCACTATATCTTGCATTAAATCATCCAATTGAATTTCTAGCTGAAACTTTCAAAGTGGACATTTAAGTTTTCAACAATGGTGGCATTTGCTATCTCTCTTATGTAAAGTGTAAACCTATGATCCTGGAGCACATTCATTGATAAGCCTTTCTCATAGATAAAACCAAACTAAAGTTAAAGTTAATAGGATTAAACATCGGCATGATTGAAAAATAAAATACAGACAGGACTAGCAAACAGCTACTCAAGAGGGAAATCATTGAAAAGCAAGCTATGCTGAAAACACCTTTCTTGGGTCACATTATATGAAATGAGAGAACCTTACCGAGCCATACCATAAAGCATGATATACAGTTCCACAAGAACCTGCAGGAACAAAAGATATTCAAAGTTAGAGAATGGCATTTAATCAAGAAAAAAAGGTGATAACATTATTAGCCTCTGCCTATTCAGTGCTATAGGTTGGATCATTTAGGTAACCAATCCAATTAGGCAGTAAGCAGAGAATAATGTTATTGGTACTTGTTAAAAAGGTTCCTTGGCAATCATCGCATAGACATACATGCACATGCAAAAGAAGATAATTGGTCCAATTTGTGATTATTGCACTAAGACATCTGATCTCATTAGAGGGATTTCCGAAGAAAATGCCATCTTGTTATTGCACAAGAAAGAAGATGACTACCTTGACCTATTTGTTCTCCAATTGTGAGATCTTCCCATAAGATCTCATAGTCTAAGCAATCAGTATCTATATCCACTTTGTGAACAGTGCTGCTGGTGCTCCCGCAGCTGCTAATGCTACTTGTGCTATTGATGTTAAGAGAGGACCAGGAGCCTGAAGCTTCATTATTTCCTGTCCGGTTGTTTTCAGTTGCTTGATTTTCTGTTTTTGTGCCAGACTCGGATGACTTTGGATAACTGTAATCATTTTCTTGATCACCATGCAACCATGGCCAGACCAAGCGATTCTTTGCATCATTACCATCCTGGTTGTGCCCTTTCCAGGGCGATAATATCCCCCTATTGGCAAATAATGCCTCTGTCTTGCTTATGATCTTGAAGATGCTTGTCTTTCCATCATCTTCATCATTATTTACTTTGGTTGCTTTGCCAGGAGATATTTCCTCCACTACAGCAGAGGGCTTACCAGAAGCACAGGGTGGCACCTCACCTCTAGATGTGCTAGATCCACTGGAAGCACCATCCTCCTTATGGTCTGATGACATTGCATCATGATCAGAAGACTGGCTATCTCTGTTTCCAATTTCACGTTCCAGATTATTTTCACCTGGCTTTATTCGACAGCGAACTTTGTTTGTAACTTTAGTAGCCTGTTTTGGTGATTCTAAAAATCAAGAAAGAATAAACTAGAAAATAAATTAACAATATATGCCAGACTCATCTAAAATGAAGAATGCTCCCAAGAACTTCTATGACATGAGATTCTATTGCATTCTTCTGGTCATGAAATTACAACAAGTTACACTCACCAGGTTGGTAATTTTGGATGCAATAGCAATTTGGATGGGCTGTTGAGGAATAGAACCGCCATTGCTTGTAGAACCTTTTCTTGGGCGACTTGCAGTGTGGCCGACAGAAGCTTGTGACTCGGTAGAAGTTGGAGAGGATGGCAAGTCCTGAAAGGACCTTGAATCACTCGAGACACAAATGATGCCAGCCAAACTACCATCATCATCATCATAAAAGGGGGTGTTTGTGGAAATAACTAAGAAACATTCCCCAGACTTGTTCTTCACAGGAAACTTTCCTGTCCAGCTCTCCCCCGTAGTTACACATTGAACTATGCGACCAGCAATGTTGAAATTACGGGCATCAACAAGCAGCTCGATTGCATTCTGACCAAGAGCTTCTGATGCAGCAAAACCATAAAGATTTTCTGCTGATCGGTTCCTTAAACATCAAAAAAGATCATCCTTGAAGAGTCTTTGTGTTAATTATGTGAATAAACTAGAACAACTACCTAGTTTAACATTTAGAAGCCAGAACGATCAAGTCTTTGTGTGTTGACCAAAATAAAACACTTGCCAGCACAATATTATAAGCATAAGATAAACATGAGATAAAATTTTCCAAATATCACATGGAGAGGATTATGTGGCACCTTTCATTATAAAGAATGAACAAAACAGATATAGCACCAAAGCATAATAAGACACCTAAATGGATAAGAAATGACCACAGAAAATGCAAACTACCGACGGTTTGCTTTATATACACCAACTAACCAGAAGCAATAATAAGATCAAGTTCCATCTAGATCTCCTTTGCAGTTCAGCTATGTGAACTTGCTAGAAAGCAAAGACAATATAGTAAATAAGTAATATTGGTTATGCCCATTCAACGTATTCTTCAATAATTGACCAAATTTTAGTCATAAAATTCTCTAGTTCCCAAACCTTACAAATCGATGATGGCTAAGCATATTTGTCTTGACATTCTCCTCTGATTGCAATATCAAAGCTTTCAAGAAGAATGTCAATGAGAATACCTGATCACATAACAATTAAATTATTTCTTTTTATAGTGAGTGTCACCTGCTGACCAAACCCATTAAATCGATGTGCTGAAGCACTATAGTGCTTGTCGAGGTGCTCTCAGTTTGTTCTACCTATAAATTGCTTTCACTTACAAAATCTGAAACAGTAGCAGACCATAAAGATGACCTTTCCCGACCAACAATTTTCTTGCAAGGTTCCATGATATAAGCATTCACCGAATCAGTATCTATATAAATTTTATCAGAAAAGGGTGATAGCAGAATTAAATCACACCCATTGCCAAAGTTTTGAATATTATCATGCAAATCGTCAAAACATCATAGATAATAAGACACCTGACCAGATTAGTAGACTGTCAGCAACACATTACCTAAGGATCCAAAAAGAAAACAAAAACATTTGATAAATAAGAGAAGGGAAAGGCGATGATCAAAGAAGAGAGAAAAGCAAGCATAGGCAACTGACCAATAAATGATCCTGCCATCAAGATCGAATATATGGACCGATTGCCCCATCGACTGCAAAATGTTCAGGTACTGCCTTTCCGAGAGCCCGATCCCAGCGGCGCCGTCGGCAGAGCTGCTCGCCCCCGGGCTCTCCCGCTGCAGACTCGACGAGTGCCGGAAGAAGCGTGAGCCCTCGAAGCCTCCGCTGTTCCTCCTCTGCGGCGAGGCCACCGTCCTCTGCGGCGACACCGAGTGGGACCGGCCGCGGTTCGATCGGCGTGCGCCGCCCTCGTTCACGTGCATCAGCTTCGACATCTCCTGCTTCAGGCGGGCATGTCCGGCCTCCAGCTCCTTGATCTTCTTCAGCAGCTCTTCCGCCGGGGTTTCCATGCACCAAAGGCGGCTCCTTTTCGCCTCACAGTGGGAGTAGCAGCAGCAACGCAGGCAGTGATGCTAGAAGGAGGGCGTTCATCACCTGTCCTCGAATTCCCGGGCGGTGGAGAATGGGTGTTCTGCTGAAAGAAGCCTCCTTTTATGGATCAATGATGCCCTCTCTCTCTCTCTCTCTCTCTCTCTCTCTCTCGGTAGGCTGTGGCTTGTGTGGGGGACATTTCTTTTCTTTCTTTAATCAAGAACAACTCCTCCCATGCCTTCTGAGACTGCTGCTGCCATTACAAGTGGGTGAAGCTTTTTGGCATTACTGGTTCAGCATGTTTGACACTTCACTTCACTCCAAATTACCACCTTTGGGTTTCCAACAGTTCATTTTGGAGTCTGATGCTGATGCATTGTGAAGAACAAAAGCAATTGTGACTTGCTAATTCACAATGGATAGACCTTTTTTAAGGTAGTGGATTCCTTTGTTATTTAAGGTAGTGGATTAACCTTTTTCTTTTAATGGATAGAAAATGAAGATAAAATTCAATCTCAGAATTTTATTATTAATCATTAATTTTTTTTACCAAACTAGCTAATTCAATCTAAGAGATTTTATCATTTAAAGTAATATTTTTTCTAAAACAATCTTTTTAAGATATCGAAGAATTCAATACTCATGCAAGGTTTGTATATAGATGATGGATTATCTATAGTCATCATAAGATGATCAAAACGTGGTAATATAGAACTTGAAAACTTTTCCTGCGTTAGAAGGAAAAATCTATAAAAGACTGAAGTGTATAGTAAGTTTAGTATATTGATAGGTCTTGAGAGATACAACAAGGGTTATATTGGCGAAGTCATAATCTAGTAAATGCATTCACGATGACAGCATAGTGTACGGTTTGTTCATCGAAGCAAAATAGTCCAAGAGGATGATGATCTTTGAAACTTTCAGAGTGAATGATGTAAAGAGAAAAATTACCTCAACGGGATGGATATCTAGAAATGACAAGTCTCGATTCTCTAGATGAAAAATCATGTACAACAGACCACACATATTGAGGGGGTAACTCAAAGCGATAACTCCATAAAGCTCAATAGAATGAGTGAGAAAGCAACGATGAGTCATCATATGATCTCGCATGAGATAATGTATTGGTGGACATATTGTAAGATTAAGTGAAAGAGCAATCCTATCCAACATTAAACGAAGGTACGCTTAGAGTCAATATGAAGATTAAACTTAACGGAAGGCTAACCTATGGAATGGTAGGCATGAAAGTTATCATCAATTCAATGCAAATCGAGAAAAAAAATAACTTGGGTGAAACTTAATGAAGTACACAAGTCACGCGAAGGGAATCGACATAAATCGACAGGCCATGAAACTTTCCTTGCAGAAAAGTTAATAATTTTGTCTTATTTGACTTGAGCAAGATGTCTCGTATATATCTCTCTTAGAAAAATAACCTTTTTCATCTTTTGTCTTCTCTTCAACTTTTATCTGCTTGTATTTTATTTCTCCTTTGGTTATCCTCATCCTTTGAGGTTTTTTGTTTGCTTGCAAGCAAGTTGGTGGTAGTGTGGTCCACTCACTTGCAAGGAGAGAATGCCAGTTCCTTTATTTAACTTCCTATACTCTCCAAATCATCTTTCCACATCAACCATGAGTCAATTGCAGCAGCTATGAAAAGAGTCAATGTTCTTTTAACATGCACATATCTCAAGTTTACATCAGATTTAACTGCCATTAGATGAAGAATGCAATTTTATTCTTCATGATATATTTGACAGACCTCATGAGAACATTGTCCCAAATTTCATTCTTCATATGGGTTAGGATTTTTTATTTTCGCTCGGTCGAATCGTAGATTATTACATAATGATCTATTAAAATCTAATGATAAGTCTAACTAACTCTCCTATATTTTTATTTTATTTTAACTTTTGATCATTGTTATTGTCTTCTTATTAATTTTTTTTGCTCAATTACTCTTTCATATATTGCTCTTGCAAATATTTACGATTACTTGGTTACATCTCATAATGACATATATTAATTACATCAAGATTTTTTTTTGAGATTTTCTTTACTATGTAAATTAAACATCTTTACATAGTGACATCTCATAATGACATATATTGCATCAAGATTTCTTTTCAAAAGATAAGAGGAAGAGGTGAATATGAGATTTTATAATCAAACATCTTTATCAACCAAATAAGTTGATATCTAGTACTATCACCATTTGGTTATTGCTCATGATAGTTAAACATTTTAATTTAATCTCATATTGGATATGAAAAAAAATAAATTATTTATATAACTAAATTGATTTATTACTATTAATTTAATTTTAAGTATTTATTTAGACTCATCAAATTAATGGATTAATTTTTTGTTTTCGATGAAACGCGAAAATCCAGAGTTGATAATAATAGAAATAATGATGGATAAAAAGAATGATCGAAATTGCTTCCTAAATAATCAAGAAGAATAGTTCCTTTTCTTATAATTTTCATTTCCATTTTCATTTACAATTCAACATAGACATTTCCAATTCATGGAACAAATAGACACAATGCCACAGCTAACTGCCAGACATCCTCTTCATCAACTTGTGTGCATCTTAAATGAAATTGGAACATGCTTTGAAAGACTACTCTTCTGACTGCAATCCTGCTTGCACAGGTCCCTATCAACTCTTATGGCATGCTCATGCATTTTGAACTTTCTTTCTACACAGAATTTGATGAACTAAAAGCCCTTCTGACTGCATAAACCCTTTTATAGCCTTCCTTCAGTCTTTTTTTTTTTCTTTTTCAAGATAGTGCTTAATATTGTGACTGCAGAATACACCACTTGCAAATATATCAATCTGAATTATGTGTACTCTATAGAATATTTCTTCCTAATCTTTGTTAGTGATTCTCATAAGCTGACTCAAGTTTGGAAGGAATTGAGTATGACTATCTATTAGGGAGTCTGCTAACTATTCCCTTTTCTCTAAATACATGTAAAGCTCATCAGCTCACTGGTAGTAGCAATCTAAGTCCAAGACAATATATATATATATATATATATATATATATATATATATATAT